GCAGTTACGGGTTGACTCCTAACTGCGTCCGTTGCCCTCTCAAGACAACCCCCATCTTCTCTACCCTAGCCAATCCAGCTACTGATACTCCCTGCCCCAGCCTCCCAGCCACGACAAGGCCTACCGCAACACGTATCATTACCCCAACACCTATCACACCTCAACGCCTATCCCTTTAACTACCCCGACTCCTCCCTATCTCTGTCAAGACCAGGTCTACCCAAACCCCCAATGACCACCCCAACCCCTATCACCATCACCTCAACCCCTATCACTCCCCCTGCCACAGCCATAACCAGGACTAGCCCAACCCCTATCATTACCCCGACCCCTATCATCACCATCACCTCAACCTCCATCCCCATCGCTACCTCAACTGCTATTGCCTCCGCCAGCCACAACCAGGCCTAAACCCCAACCTCTATCACTTCCCCAATCCCTGCTTAACCACTCCCGCTTGTTCTCCCATCACCGTAACTACACCACCACGTTTAAATACATATCCCCATTCTTTTTAATTCAACCGCTATCATCTCATGTACGATGTTATGATTGCTGTACAACGCATTTGGGGCCGTCCATAAATGACGTCACGCACCTGGGGGGGGGGGGGGGTGTCAGACATTTGTGAAGATTTGTGACGAGGGGGGGGCGTGGTTTGATAAATGTGACGTCACATCAAATTGTGCGACTTTAAATAAATATAGATAACACGTTCTACTTAAATTTTGATTTAAAGCTTTCGTGACTGCAGTAATTCATATCCTTAGCTCTTTCGGTAAAGTCACGTTGAAGGGAAACAATAAAATAATAAAATATACATAAAACAATAAAAATTCTCACGATGTTTCGACCATAACACAAACGGTCGTCATCAGGTGTGTCGGTTTGCGAAAATGTATTTGTTTTTAAACGGTGTGTTTATTTATTTATTTATAATAAAAAAAAGTCGGCGTCACGCACAGTGATTTGGCAGTTTATTTAGAAGGACTAGTCCATCTATGTTCTGAAAAGAGGAGGGGGGAGACGAAAAATGAATGTATGCTGTCTGAAAGCCACTGTAAGCGTGAACAATCAATTAAGACCTGAAATGGTTTATCAAATCTTTCCAATGATTGATAAGCCAGAATCCATCTTCTCGGTTGAAATTGTCTCTGTGCTTGTATATGTGGATAGCCTCATGAACGAATCTCTCATGGTAGCCAGATGGCTTACAAAGAACCTCTGTCTTGGAACAGTTAATGTCATGTGAGCCTACTGAATTATAACAATGATCTGCCACGGCCGAGGTGTTAGTCCTACCGTGTTTAAGGTCTGCTTTGTGTTCACGAATGCGGTCCGAGACATGGCGTTTGGTTTCTCCAATGTAACTACTACCACAGAGGCAACTTAGTTTGTAGACACCAGGGTACTGTATGTCCGGAATCACATCTTTTACGGATGGAACCAGATCACGGATTTTATGTAATGTGTTGAAACGGACCTGGATCTTGTGTTCATTTAAGATTTTGGAGGTCTTTTTTGTGATCCCCGCAATGTATGGTAAAGTGATGGTTTTGAAAGGCTCCTCAATAGGGTCCTTCTTCATGGTTTGAGTGATAGCTTTGCGGATTGTATAGTCGGAGTATCCATTAGCCTTAAGAGCTTGGTGTACTTGCTTGAGTTCACTGCCTATGTGTTCCTGGTCGGATATGCATTGGGCTCTATGATACAGAGTCTTGATGAGAAAATTCTTCTGTGATGGATGTTGGTGGGAATCCGGTTTCAGATAAGCATCCGTATGGGTAGCTTTCCTGTAGACAGAGTGGCTCATTGAACCATCAGGTCTCTTTTAATTAGGACATCCAAATAAATAAATAAATTTATGCAAACCGACACACCTGATGACGACCGTTTGTGTTATGGTCGAAACATCGTGAAGATTTTTATTGTTTTATATATATTATTATTTTATTGTTTCCCTTCAACGTGACTTTACCGAAATAGCTAAGAATACGTTCTACTTAATTAAATATAGATTTGAAGCTTTCGTGACTGCAAGGATCCATACTCTTTGGTTCTATTCGGTAAAGTCACGTAGGTAAAAAATAAAACAAAAATTACAACGTAATTAAGGTGTCAAGGCACCTTAATTACTCTCACACAGCTTAAAGGTCGCGGTCTGAGCTTGGCTGTGTTTCACTCCAGCGCTGTCCTCGTGACAGTCTGGTCCCTTCACCTGATGAAGGCCGCTTGTGTTGTGGCCGAAACGTCGTGATTTTTGTTGTTTTATTTTTTACCTACGTGACTTTACCGAATAGAACCAAAGGGTATAATTACATATACTTTTTAATGTTTTCTCCTACAACATCAGAGTGCAGCGGCACATTAAATATGCACTACAATGACAATAGTTTAAAGCGATTTGAAGCATGTTTTATATTTTTTTGAGGGGGGTGGGCAGAGCTTTGTGACGTCATATTTGAGGGGGGGGCTGAATTTTTGTGACGCCGTGTGACGAGGGGGGGGGGGGGTCAAAAATCGTTCAAAATTGCGTGACGTCATTTATGGACGGCTCCTTGGCACACGAGGGGGGGGGAGTGGGAGGGAGCGGGTGAGAGTGAGGTGAGGTGGTGAGTGAGGAGGGTGAGAGTGAGGTGAGGGAGTGAGTGTAAGGGGGTGAGCAAGGGGGGTGAGGGAGGGGGTGAGCAAGGGGGGTGAGTGTGAGAGAGTGAGCGAGGTGGGTGAGGGAGGGGGTGAGCGAGGGAGGGTGAGAGGAGTGAGGGGTGAGTGTGAGGGGGGTGAGCAAGGGGGTGAGTGAGAGGGGGTGAGTGTGAGGGGGTGAGGGGGTGAGTGAGAGGGGGTGAGTGTGAGGGGTGAGTGTGAGGGTTGAGTGAGAGGGGGTGAGTGAGAGGGGTGAGTAAGAGGGTGAGTGAGAAGGTGAGTGAAAGAGGGTGAGTGTGAGGGGTGAGTGAGAGGGTGAGTGAAAGGGGGTGAGTGTGAGGGGTGAGTGAGAGGGTGAGTGTGAGGGGGTGAGTGTGAGGGGGTGAGTGAGAGGGTGAGTGAGAGGGGGTGAGTGTGAGGGGTGAAGGTGAGGGGTGAGTGAGAGGGGGTGAGTAAGAGGGTGAACGAGGGGGTGAGTGAGAGGGGGTGAGTGTGAGAGGTGAGTGAGAGGGTGAGTGTGAGGGGGTGAGTGAGAGGGGGTGAGTGAGAGGGGGTGAGTGAGAGGGGTGAGTAAGAGGGTGAGTGTGAGGGGGTGAGTGTGAGGGGATGAATATGAGGGGGTGAGTAAGAGGGTGAGTGAGGGGGGGTGAGTGAGAGGGGGTGAGTGTGAGGGGGTGAATATGAGGGGGTGAGTGTGAGGGGTGAGTGAGGGGGTGAGTATGAGGGGGTGAGTGTGAGGGGTGAGTAAGAGGGTGAGTGTGAGGGGGTGAGTGAGAGGGTGAGCGTGAGGGGGTGAGTGAAAGGGGGTGAGTGTGAGGGGTGAGTAAGAGGGTGAGTGTGAGGGGGTGAGTGAGAGGGTGAGCGTGAGGGGGTGAGTGAGAGGGGTGAGTGTGAGGGGGTGAATGTGAGGGGGTGAGTAAGAGGGTGAGTGAGGGGGTGAGTGTGAGGGGGTGAGTGAGAGGGGGTGAGTGTGAGGGGGTGACTGTGAGGGAGTGAGTGAGAGGGTGAATGTGAGGGGGTGAGTGTGAGGGGTGAGGGGTGAGTGAGGGGGTGAGTGTGAGGGGGTGAGTGAAAGGGTGAGTGTGAGGGGGTGAGTGAGAGGGTGAGTGTGAGGGGGTGAGTGTGAGGGGTGAGGGGTGAGTGAGGGGGTGAGTGTGAGGGGGTGAGTGAAAGGGTGAGTGTGAGGGGGTGAGTGTGAGGGGTGAGTGTGAGGGGGTGAGTGTGAGGGGGTGAGTGAGAGGGTGAGGGGTGAGTGACTGTGAGGGGGGAGTGAGAGAGGGTGAGTGAGAGAGGGTGAATGTGAGGGGGTGAATGTGAGGGGGTGAGTGAAAGGGTGAGTGTGAGGGGGTGAGTAAGAGGGTGAGTGAGGGGGGGTGAGTGTGAGGGGGTGAATGTGAGGGGGTGAGTGAGATGGTGAGTGTGAGAGGGTGAGTGTGAGGGGGTGAGTGAGAGGGGGTGAGTGTGAGGGGTGAGTGAGAGGGGTGAGTGTGAGAGGTGAGTAAGACGGTGTGCGTAAGGGGTGAGTGAGGGGGTGAGTGTGAGAGGGTGAGTGAGAGGGGGTGAGTGTGAGGGGGTGAATGTGAGGGGGTGAGTGAGAGGGTGAGTGTGAGGGGGTGAGTGTGAGGGGTGAGGGGTGAGTGAGGGGGTGAGTGTGAGGGGGTGAGTGAAAGGGTGAGTGTGAGGGGGTGAGTGAGAGGGTGAGTGTGAGGGGGTGAGGGGTGAGGGGTGAGTGTGAGGGGGTGAGTGAAAGGGTGAGTGTGAGGGGGTGAGTGTGAGGGGTGAGTGAGAGGGGTTAGTGTGAGGGGGTGAATGTGAGGGGTGAGTGAGGGGGTGAGTGTGAGGGGTGAGTGAGAGGGGTGAGTGTGAGGGGGTGAATATGAGGGGGTGAGTGAGAGGGTGAGGGGTGAGTGTGAGGGGGTGAGTGAGATGGTGAGTGTGAGAGGGTGAGTGTGAGGAGGTGAGTGAGAGGGGGTGAGTGTGAGGGGTGAGTGAGATGGTGAGTGTGAGAGGGTGAGTGTGAGGGGGTGAGTGTGAGGGGATGAGTGAGAGAGTGAGTGTGAGGGGGTGAGTGAGAGGGGTGAATGTGAGGGGTGAGTGTGAGAGGGTGAGGGGGTGAGTGTGAGGGGGTCAGTGTGAGGGTTGAGTGTGAGGGGTGAGTGAGAGAGGGTGACTGTGAGGGGGTGAGAGGGTGAGGGGGTGAGTGGGTGAGTGAGTGAGTGAGGGGAGGGGTGAGCGGGGTGAGGGGAGGGGTGAGGGGAGGGGCGAGCAGAGTGAGGGGAGGGGTGAGGGGAGGGGTGAGGGGAGGGGTGAGGGGAGGAGCGAGCGGAGTGAGGGGAGGGGTGAGGGGAGGGGTCAGGTGAGGGTTTGGATACGGAACTGAGGACCCAGCTCGAAGCGGCGGCGAGTGTACAGTGTGTGTACAGTGAGTGTACAGGGGTGAGTGTGTGTACAGTGTGTGTACAGTGAGTGTACAGGGGTGAGTGTGTGTACAGTGTGTGTACAGTGAGTGTACAGGGGTGAGTGTGTGTACAGTGTGTGTACAGTGAGTGTACAGGGGTGAGTGTGTGTACAGTGAGTGTACAGGGGTGAGTGTGTGTACAGTGTGTGTACAGGGGTGTGTGTGTACAGGGGTGTGTTTGCGAGGGTGACTTTACAAGAGTGTGGGTGTGTGTACAATAGTGTGTATGTGTGTACAAGAGTGTGTGTGTACATGAGTGTGTGTGTATACAAGAGTGTGTGTGTACATGAGTGTGTGTGTGCATGAGTGTGTGTGTGTACAAGAGTGTGTGTGTACATGAGTGTGTGTGTACAAGAGTGTGTGTGTGTGTACAAGAGTGTGTGTGTACAAGAGTGTGTGTGTACAAGAGTGTGTGTGTACAGGAAAGGTTTCAGGAAAGGGCGGTCCTGCACAGATGCCATATTTTCTGTCCGTCTGCTACAGCAGAGGTGTAGGGAATTCCAACAAGACCTACATCTATGCTTTATTGACCTGGTCAAGGCCTATGATACCATCAGTAGGCCTGGGCTCTGGGTCGTTCTTCGTGCTTTTGGAGTACCTGACCCTCTGCTCACGATCATTAAGGACCTTCATGATGGTGAGCGGGCCCGGGTAAAACTACGTGGCCGGGAGTCAGAGCCATTCCCTGTACACCTTGGGGTGCGACAGGGATGTCCTCTGGCTCCCACATTATTTAACATCTATTTTGACCACGTAGTTCGTGAAGCCTTCAATAGCTGTACCGGGGGAATCTCCATATGGTACAGATATAATGGGAGGCTAATCGATGCCCGGGTGCGGTCAAGGGATGGCTCCCTATTGCTCAACCACGTTATGTATGCTGATGACTTGGTAATAGCTGCTCAGTCAGAGGAGGAGTTGGAGACGCTGCTGCTGAGACTGGAGCGTGCCACTAAGAGATGGGGCCTTACCATCAGCCCCACCAAAACTAAGCACCTGCCTGGGTATTTTGTACCATCGGACACTCCACCCCCACAACTCCCAATCGGTGATGGGGCAGTTGTGGAGAGAGTGGAGAGTTTCCCATACCTGGGCAGTGTGCTTATGACTGGCTCCAGTTTAACAGCAGAGGTCTCACTCCGAATCAGTCGAGCGGCAATATCTTTTCATCGGTTGCGTAACGCTGTGTGGAAGCTACCTGGTCTGTCGCTCCGCACTAAGCTTCAGGTCTTCTCGGCCACGATCATTCCCTCCCTTCTCTACGCTTGCGAAACGTGGACCCCCCTAATGGAACATCTTCGCCGGTTAGAAACATTTAGGCTGACCTGCCTACGATCCATCCTGGGTTTAACCAGACTGGATTGTGTGAGGAGCTCACAAATCCTTGAAAGATCTGGGCAGGGTCCCATCGGTGAGCTCCTCCGGCAGGCAAGGCTGCGATGGCTGGGTCATGTAGCCCGCATGCCCAGCCACCGCATGCCGAAACAGCTTTTGTTTGGCCGGATTGAGGGGGCTAAGCGGGCGCGGCACGGGCTAGAGAAGAGATGGAGTGATGTGGTACAGGAGGACGTGGAGCTGAGTGGACTTGCCGATGACTGGTACCAGCGGTGTCAAGATCGGCCTCTGTGGAGGAGGCTCGTGAAGGATGCTACTGGGCAGTTGGAGGCAGTCGCCCTCCAACAACAACGGAGGGCGGAGGAGCGACGCTCACAACAGCGAGCGGAGCGCCGGGTGGCTAAAGCACAGCAGGTTGGCACAGTAGGGGGCACAGGTGGTGCATCAGCCAGTCATCTCAGTCAGTCGACCCGTGGCACCTGGGTCTGCCCCGTGACCTCCTGCCAGCGGGCGTTCGACACTTCACGTGGCCTCAGGGTGCACATAGCCTGGCACAAGCGTCGTGGTGACGTCACCGCCACTTAGTGGCGAATGGCGGTTGTTGTTGTTGTGTGTACAAGAGTGTGTGTGTACAAGAGTGTGTGTGTACAAGAGTGTGTGTGTATATGTTGGAGACGCTGCTGCTGAGACATCTATTTTGACCACGTAGTTCGTGAACCCTTCAATAACTGTACCGGGGGAAACTCCATTTGGTAAAGATATAATGGGAGGCTGATCGATGCCCGGGTGCGGTCAAGGGATGGCTCACTATTACTCAACCACGTTATGTATGCTGATGATTTGGTAATAGCTGCTCATTCAGAGGAGGAGTTGGAGACGCTGCTGCTGAGACTGGAGCGTGCCACTAAGAGATGGGGCCTTACCATCAGCCCCACCAAAACTAAGCACCTGCCTGGGTATTTTGTACCATCGGACACTCCACCCCCACAACTCCCAATCGGTGATGGGGCAGTTGTGGAGAGAGTAGAGAGTTTCCCATACCTGGTCAGTGTGGGGAGGTCTGGACCGTGTACCCAAAGCAGCCATTGCAGCTGCATGTGTCACAGTCCTAAACCTCGCCCATTGACCCTCGACATCAGGAGGAGTCGGGGACGATGCCAATCCCAGCCGCAAGCGATGATGAAATTCTCGCTTGCAACTTTCATCAGATAACTGAGACCAGGCCACTTTAGGTTGGACTGGGGTCCTGGGTGTACACCCACCACCGGAGTGGAAAAATGGCAGGCGCATCTTACAGATGACTAGTCGATGGTCAGAGGGCAGATCAGCTCCACGGTAGGTCCTGGTGTCAAGGACATGGGCTCGCATCCGCTGGTCCGTCACTATGTAGTCCAACAGATGTTCTTGCTTGGACCCGGCATGCATCCATGATGTTGTGTGGACGCGCCGATGCCGGAACAGCGTGTTGGTAATTACAAGCCCATGGGCTGCACAAAATTCTAGCAGCCTCCTACCGTTGTTATTGAGCTGATCTGGCCCATGCCCTCCAATCACTCCAGACCAGGTGCCAGTATCATGACCAACTCGGGCATTGAAGTCACCCAACATGATGACTCTATCCCGAGGGGCCACTTTAGCCATCACCTGTGACAGGAGGTCATAGAAGGCATCTGACTCATCGGCTTTGCCTGCATCCTTCCACGGATGTTCATCTTCGGTGGGGGCATAAGTAACCACGACCACCATTCCTCGCCTCCGGTTGATGGGAAGGCGAGCCCAAAGTAGCCTGGGACTTACAGCTTCCCACACCTCACCGCCACGCTCCCACGCCCCCTTCATTCTTTTGTTCAAAAGAAGAGCCACACCCTGTTGTTTGGCAGTCTGCTGCCCCGAGTAGAGGACTGTCCACCCCTCATGGTGGCAGGAGCCAGAGCCGGTCCACCGGACCTCCTGAATGCCACACAGATCCAGGCGGTACCGGTCCAGCTCCCGACAGAGGAGTGGCATCCTCTCCTCCGCAGTGAGCGTTCCAACATTCCACGTGGCCACCCGTAGTGGCTTTTCATTGTTTCTGGAGGAGCCCCGAGGGTAGATATTCAATCTCCTGGCTCCGCCAATTGGGGTTTGGCCAGGAGACGTCATAGACGCCTGGCCCCCCGGGGCCTCCGGCACAAGCTTATTAGTTACATATTTCAGTATAACTCGTGGTTTAGTGGTAATTAATTGAAGGTGGAGGGGTTACCAGCCCCTCGCACCCGTCCAGAGCCCCCGTTTAGCCCCTGTGGTGGACACATATGCCATGAGGGGAGGAGCCAATCAAAATTGGACATCCCCCCACAGCACTGTCCACGACAGAGTTGCCCGTCCGGTAACGCGATGAGGTAGGGGGTTGTTTTACCACCACTACCACCACCACTACCACCTCCACTACCACCTCCTGTTGTATATGCCGGGTCTTGAAAATTTTATTAAAAGAATAAAAATTAATGAAATTGGGAAAAATGCGTAATTATGTGAAGTTATGTTAATTGATGTCATTATGCGCATACTTATGCTAATTCGAGAGATAATCGTATTAATTTATGCGAATGTATGTGATTATGCTAATGCGAGCCGTTATGATAATTAGGCCCTGCCTCGCTGACGAGGGTAGTATTATAAATCGGGATCATACAATTAATTGTATGAAGTTTTGCAAGTGTGCTGTAAGTACGCCAAATTATGCTCGGCTTTGTTGTCTAGGTTCGTATTATCAATCGGTGTAATAAATTATTCTCGCTTTAATATTTACTTATTATGTATTAGTGTGTTGTATGTCAGGTCTCCAAATTCAAATCTCATCGCAGGATACAGTTCTCATAAATAATATTATTAAGCATGAACTCAGGAAAGAAACACTCAAACACTTCTGTGTTAAGCAATTTTTATTTCTAAACAAAACCTTAACACTCTAATATGCGAATTCTCATGCTAGAAATTGTCAACACAGTACGCCAGAAGATGTTCCCCTTATTGAGCTATACATTTAACCCTCAATGATCACGTTTGTTAACTGTGTAACAGAACAATTTATTACTTCATCAGAGTAGTACGAGCATATACGGCAAATAAAAGTCCTTAAAAATTAATGCCACGACATTCATACGGAAGGCGATAAAAGCAAATTATTATACCCCAAAGGCAAAAGTATACGTCAATATATTAATCGGCAAGATTATATAATTAACTAAATGTCTTGGAATAAGGGTGTGCGACGGGGTGCGTGCCCTCCTACGGGAGATTCTTATCTTTGGCTAAGTTTTAATTAATTCGTGGACAAGATTGTATGATAAAGAAACCGGTTTAACACAATATTCTCTCTGTGGGCGTGTAGATTCGTGATGAAGGTTTCAAAAGTTTAGTTTTTATCGATGAATCTATTGGTAATTTATGCAATTGGAAGTAAAATCACGTAAAACAAAATAGAGAAAAAAATTAATGTACTTATAAACGACGTATTCTTGTCACTTCGATAAGCCGCGATGCCTTCACGGCCAGCTGATGGTTCATGCACTTTATAATTGGTCTTAGTGTGTGGGTACGTTGGATTGTCTCTTTGGTAAATTATTGTGTGAGCAGACGCCAGGAGCGTCGTGGGTTTGTGAGTGGGGGAGGGTATACGAACGACGGCTGGTTCCCTCTATCGCTCGGCGTCTGACGTTGGCTGCCGGTTCTCTCCGCCGCTGGATGATGAGCTGCGTCGGCACGATGCCCGTCCTGGAGATGCTCGGTCGCTCGTGCGCTGGCAGCAGTTCCTCACTCTTGTCTTGGTTCCCAGCTGGTGCTGGTCGGTGTGCGTGTGGGTCGAACCCACGGCGCGCTCGCTGGCGCTGACACTCTTGCTCACGGGCGGCTGGTCAGGCTCTTTTCCCTGCTGGATGAGCCGAGTCGGCACAACGCTTGTCCGCTGGCTGCTGACACCCTTGCTTGGTGGCGCTGGTGGCTCTGCGGCGTGCTCTGTCCTGCTCCGGCTCTCTGGCAATGAACGATGCTTTCTTTCGATTTAAAGCTTTCGTGACTGCAATGATTCATCTTCTTTGGTTCTTTCGGTAAAGTCACGTAGAATGAGAATAAAATAATAAATTGATAAAATAAAATAACACAATAATATTCTCACGACGTTTCGGCCACAACACAAGCGGCCTTCATCAGGTGAAGGGACGAGACTGATGAAGGCCGCTTGTGTTTTGGCCGAAACGTCGTGATAATATTATTGTGTTATTTTATTTTATCAATTTATTATTTTATTCTCATTCTACGTGACTTTACCGAAAGAAGCAAAGAAAACGATGCTTTCGTTCGTTGATGGCAGGCTTGGTCGACGTTTGGCGCTTTCCGCCCTCTCTAACGGATGATGCTGGAATTCTCGTCAGCTTAGCTCGAACTGCAGTGGCTCTTGTGAGTCGATGCCCAGAGCGGAATGATTTCCGAGCGATACTTCTTCTGACGGCGCTGAATTCGCACGGCGTAGCGTGTCGCTACCCAGCGAGCCTCGTCATCCTGGATGAGTTGCGGAGTCTTCTTCTGCGTCGGTGGTGATCTCCTGCGTCGGTGGCTGGCTGTTATCTTTGGGGGTTGAGCATCTTCGATAGTTGGTCGCCGTCTTCTGCCGCTGGTAGCCGTGATACTATGTATGGCCAGTGTCTCTCTTTTTATGCCAAAATTTCTTCCTCTGGCTCGCCTCCTCACAAAGGACCGGAACTTCCTTTGATCTCGCTGTTGTCGGGGGGAGGGGGGGGGGTGGCTCTGTACGTGTGTCCGTGTGTGTGTGTGATTTATTAAGCCATCTGTGTCTCTCCCTGTGATTACCGTTGTTTCCCTCGCTCTGGGTGTTACATTCCTTGCTATCCCGTGCTGCGGGAAGACAAAGACGGTTGGGAGGCTCTTTTCCTATGGAACACAGTTTATCTCGCTTGTGTAAGTTTGACCTATTTCGCCTCATCTCTTCTGGACAACCCACGGTTTAATACTGCACAAATATTATTTGGTTTATGTTTCCTAAGATTTGTGATTTAACATTGTCATCACCACGTATTTTTTTAGGGTTTATTAATTTCGTCCCCCCGTCTGTATCCGGGGATCGTTGCTTTTTATTTTCGAGGTCAGAGATATAGCTTAGTTTGGACTTAAGTTTTCGTGATTGCAGGAACTCATGTACTGTGGTTCTTTTGGTAAAGTTACATAGATAGAAATATACAATAAGAAACAATATGAGTTGAATAAGGGTGAAATAATATAAGTAATAATGAAGCCACCAATATAGACTGCAGTCTATCATGTCGACTTATTCTTATAGCCAAGCTTCAACTTTTTCCGTAAAAAAAAATATATATCAGTTATAATGTCCGTTTGCCCTGTGCTCTGTCTGTGCCTGTGATTCTGGATGTGTTTGTGAACTGTCCGTTGGCAATCTGGAGATTTTGCAGATAGTCGCTAACCTCCCTTTGCCCCGGAGTTTATTATTTAATGGCCTTTTACGACCTCCAGCTGCTTGGTGCTTGTGGGAGGTAGCGGGTTTGAGGGTGTTTATTTATTTATTTGATCGATTATTATTTAAAAAAATGGCAGAAGTATTTTTAATATTAATTTTTGGAAATAGGCCTATATATACAACACTCCACTACCACCACTACCACCTCCACTACCACCACCACTACCCACCTCCACTACCACCACTACCACCTCCACTACCACCTCCACTACCACCTCCACTACCACCACTACCACCACCACTACCGCCAATGATCCCCCACCCTCCCTCGTGGAGCCTGTAACAGACTGGATGGGCAAGTGCTGTTAGCGAGTAGCAGCTGTGAAGGCAGGCACGGCACACGAGGGGGTGGGTGGCCAGCACCACGCCTGGCCGCCCACGACCAGTTAGGATAATTGTCACTGGTGTTGGCCGTGAGCGGTAATCGAACTCAGGTAGCCATGTTCGTAGCACAGGGCGCTAACCACTGTATCACTGCTCCCCACTACCATCATCTCTACCACCAAAACCATCAACTATCATCAAAATAAAAATCGTGACCACCAGCATCACCCTCGCCCCCACCATAATCTCCACCACCAACACCACCACCTCCCTCAACCCCACCATCACCGCAACCACCATCATCTCCACCACAAACACCAACACCACCATCATCTCCACCACCATTCTCACCCCCACCACCACCACCATCATCTCCACCACCACCTTCACCACCCTCACCACCATCATCATCACAACCACCCCTCTCACCCCCACCATCATCATCTGCACCACCACCCTCACTACCACCACCATCATCTCCATCACCACCACCCTCACCACCACCCCCACCACCACCATCATCACCTCCACCACCCCTCTCACCCCCACCATCATCTCCACCACCACCATCAACTCCACCACCATCATAATCCCTGTAACAGACTGGATGGGCAAGTGCTGTTAGCGAGTAGCAGCTGTGAAGGCCGGCACGGCACACGGAGGGGGTGGGTGGCCAGCACCACGCCTGGCCGCCCACGACCAGTTAGGATAATTGTCACTGGTGTTGGCCGTGAGCGGTAATCGAACTCAGGTAGCCGTGTTCGTAGCACAGGGCGCTAACCACTGTATCACTGCTCCCCACTACCATCATCTCTACCACCAAAACCATCAACTATCATCAAAATAAAAATCGTGACCACCAGCATCACCCTCGCCCCCACCATACTCTCCACCACCAACACCACCACCTCCCTCAACCCCACCATCACCGCAACCACCATCATCTCCACCACAAACACCAACACCACCATCATCTCCACCACCATTCTCACCCCCACCACCACCACCATCATCTCCACCACCACCTTCACCACCCTCACCACCATCATCATCTCAACCACCCCTCTCACCCACACCATCATCATCTGCACCACCACCCTAACTACCACCACCACCACCATCATCTCCACCACCACCACCCTCACCACCACCACCACCATCACCACCTCCACCACCCCTCTCACCCCCACCATCATCTCCACCACCACCATCAACTCCACCACCATCATAATCCCAAGCCTCTGACCGACTGTCACCATCTCGCAGGGCTGCTCAAGGCTGTGCCGAGTGGACCTCCAGAGCAATGGCATGGAGGAGGTCGAGCGCGGAGCGCTGGGTGGGCTACCGGCACTGCGCGAGGTCTACCTGGGCGCCAACAGCCTCTCCACGTTCCCTGCCTCCGCGTTCGCCCCCCCGCTGCCCGCTCCTGGCCCCACCGCTACCAGCGTCCTCATCGGCGGCGACAGTGACAACGCCGTTGGCGACGTCGGCGGCGCCGGTAGCTGCGACCTCGCGAACGCCGACGTCAGTGTCAGGAGCGGAGGCAGCGGCGTCGCCACCTTGGACCTAGGGTTCAATTCGATCTCCTTGCTCCACGCCGATGACCTCCGGTGGCTGCTGGAACTGAGGACCCTGAACCTTTCCAAGAACCAAATGACCGAGGTGTCCTCGGGCTTCCTGCGCGGTTCCCGTCGCCTCCGGCGCCTGCTCATGTCCGCCAATCGGCTCATGAGCGTGGCCGGCATCTTCCCCGAGGACCTGGGCCTCCTGGAGGCCCTCGACCTGCGCAGCAATTATCTGTCCAAGCTGCCGGCGGGAAACTTCGCCAACCTCACCTCGCTCCTGTTGCTCAACGTTGCCGACAACCAGATCGCGGAGGTGGAGGACGGCGCCGTTCGACGGCCTCGCCGCCCTGGGCCGCCTCGACCTGGGCGGCAATAAGCTGGGCCTGCAGCCCCTGGGACCGGCGGGCGTTCGAGGGCCTCGTCAACCTTACCAACCTGGAGTTCAACAACAACTACCTGCACTACGCGTCCGCGGGCGCCGTCCGCAGCCCGCCGTTCGCTCCCCTCCGCAGCCTCACCCACCTCTTCCTCAACAGCCAGCGCAGGGACGGCATGGTCAACTTCCCATCCAACTTCCTGGAGGGCCTGGCCACCCTGCAGGAGCTCCACGCCTGGGGAGCTCTACCTGTCGGTGCTGGACGCCGGCACGTTCCTGCCAACGCCCAACCTGCGCTACCTGGACTTGGGCTCCAATCCGCTGTGCGGCGTGGAGCCGGCGCTGCTGCGGCCAGTGCCGCTCCTCGACGAGCTGCACCTGCGCGGCGTCCGCCTGGACGACGTCGCCTTCCTTTCCCGGCTCAACCTGAGCCTCCTGCGGGTGCTACGCGTGAGCAACAACCGCGTCGGCGAGGTGTCCGCCGCCGAGCTCGGGGCGCTGCCGCCGAGCTCGGGGTGCTGCCGCGCCTGCAGTTACTCGACGTCGTGGGCAACCCCCTCTCCTGCGGCTGTGACAACGCGTGGTTGAGCGACTTCCTGCTAAACTCGAGCCGCGTGCAAGCGCCGGGGCTGTGCCGCGACTGCTCCCGGGCCGCTGCTCTTTGCCTGCTGCTCGTGCGCCGTCGCCCTCGTCATGCTCACCGCCACCGTCTTCAGGTTCTGGCGCTGGCACCTGCTCTACGGATACCACCTGCTCTACGGGTACCACCTGCTCGCCGCTTGGCTCGGGGAGCGCGGGAGGCCTGCGCGGCAGCCCGGCCCGATACGTTACGACGCGTTCATGTCCTACAACAGCGACGACGAAGAGTGGGTCACGCGCCAGCTGCTACCGCAGCTCGAGGGCACCGGCATGCGCCTCTGTCTGCACCACCGCGACTTCGTGCCGGGCAAGGACATCGTGGACAACATCATGGACGGCATCTACGCGAGCCGGCGCACGCTGTGCGTCGTGATGCGGAGCTACCTGCGCAGCGAGTGGTACTCCAAGGAGCTGCAGGTGTGCGCGCAATGGCGACGTCATGGACAGCAACCACCGCCCACCGCCACCCGCACATTCATCACCAACTTCCACCCAACACCACCACTCACCCGCCAACCACCCATTCACTCGAATGCCCACTCATCACCAACACCCAATCCACTCAACACCACCGCGACCACCACCACACAGCCACCAAACATCACCACACACACATCCTATGGGCTCCACCATAGGAATGTTGAATTTCCACCACCCGCTCTGCAGGGCTGCAAGCGGGAGATGAGCACCGATAGCTCAATGTGGCTAGATTCTGCAGCGGCGACTCCGACGAGGCCACTTCTGCTGCGTCTCATAGAGCCCTCACATTTGAAGGATACACCCGAAGTGGCAGCTGTCCCTGTGCTGCAGAGCGTTACTCAGCACCTGGCATGGGAGTGGGCATTTCACTACTGCCAGTAGAGGGCGATGACCGTTTTGATCTAGCCTAGGGGCACCCCCGTTGACAGCTGTCCCTGTGCGGCGCAGTGCGACTCAGCACCCGGATGCGAGCGGGCATTAGTCTACTGTCAGTGGGGGCGGTAGCGATGATTGCCATAAGTCTAGCTTAGGGGGTTCCCCAGTGGCAGCTGTAACCTGGTCTGCTGGCGGGCATGTCAGTGGGGGAGGGGGTCGCTGTGTGGTCGAGCCTAGCGGGTCCCCAGTGGCAGCTGGGGTGACGATTGCTGCTCTGTTTCCCACTGGAGTGACGCTGCCTCTCGTGCAGGTGGTGGCGTTCCGTCTCGAGGAGAACCAGGACGTCCTCGTGCTCCTCTTCCTCGAGCACATCCCTCACAACGAGCTGTCCGCCTACTTCCGCATGCGCCGCACCACCCGCTCGCGCACCTACATCACCTGGCCCGGCGCCCGGGAAGACTCGTTCGCCCGGCGGGGCCGGCGGGGCCGCACGGTGGCCCCCGCGGGGTCGGAGGGCGCCTGCAAGCTCTTCTGGCACCGCGTGGTCGGCGCGCTAGGGCCCGGGGGGCGCGGGGACGAGGGGTGCGGGGTCGCAGAGGAAGGGGGTCCGCTGGGAGCCCCGCTGGTGCACGCCTGCTGACCCGCTCGCCGTGGCGATGGTGACAATGGTTGAAGGTGGCGTTGGTCGCAATGATGGTGATGCCTGCTCAAGGCAACCGAACAAATGTCCAAGTTTGGTCGGCGGGTTCGTAATGGCAGTGTCCCGTATCCACCCGCATGCCTTCTCCCCACCGCCTGTTGCTTTTGTGAGAATGTGGAGTTTAGCGCTGGGTGTAACATCTTGTGGGTTCGTCCTCAACTCTTTACATAGGCAGTGCTACCGGAGCAGTGGGTGAGGCTGATGTTAAGACATGGCAAATGGAGCGCTAGCTGAACGGGGCTAGTGGCTGGGTGGGCGTGACGATGTAAAAAGTGGGTGTGGCTATGCAAATGCGTCTGAGCAGGGGGGGGGGCACTGAGTGGGTGGTGCTGGTGATTGATCGTTAACGCCAGGGTGCATCGGTGTTAAGAAATCGAGTGCTTTGACATTTGGGGAATGTTCGTGGTACTTTACGTTTATTGTTGTTGTGGTTCATGTCCATTAATAAAAACACGTTGTCTGACCCCTCCACCACCCAACAGGGTCGTCGCGTTTACACAGCTGAAATTATCATTATTATTTACGCGCTCCTCGCGACCCGAGCTCGACATCGGTGTGGGGCCGCCGCTCTTGGCCCGGAGCTCGGCGTCGCTCGTCCCAGCAGGGAGAGGGGCGCGACGACGAAGCCTAAGGGAACGGCGTCGCCACCTTCGTCATCCCTGGGGTTGAGAATCAACGGACAAAACACACAGCACGCGAGCGTCGGTGTGGATAGTAACACGCGCAGTACGCATGCACGCAGAGTACACGTACGCAGTACACGCGCAGTACACACAATCTACACGTGCAGTACACACGCGCGGTACACAACCAGTATGCACCGCACGTGGCCAAGCGTGCAACAGCGCACACGCTACTGCGTATTCACCCGGTCTTGTGAACGGACGGAGCGGACACTTGGGAGGCCACCCACCCCGGTGGCTGCCAGCTGACTCTGTGCTCCGAGTTCCACCTGCGACAGGGAGCGCACGTTGGCTACCTGAAGACGTGACTCAGAAACACGGCCCTTACCTTGCAGCTACACACCAGGGCTGTAGGCCACGGGCTGTCGAACAAGAGTTCAGAGCATCTAGTGAGAAAATAACTGTCAAGGGTCGCCCCTAGGTTGACTCAGCCTTAATCGAGCTCAGCGTTTGAGGGTGTAAACATTGGAACTGGGGGGGAGACAATGGCGCCCTGCGTGGAGGACAGGTGGCGGCAGTGAAGCGATGCGTGTATCGAGTGTCCCGTGTGACACGCGTGTCCTCCTGCGCGTCCCATCGCATGTTCTCCCGCGTGACCTGTGTCCTCCCGCGTGACCTCCCACGTGACCTGTGTGTCCTCCCACGTGTCCTCCTACGTGTCGCACCAATCTTCTTCTTGTCATACGACTGATGTAGATGCAGAGCAACAACTATTATTTCACATTCGGGTGGCCAAGGCAGACCACGTTACCAGGAGCAGCGGAGTGTATCGTCGCTGTGATGTCTCCGTCGTATTTGTGGATCGGCGCATTGGGTCCGTTACACGGTGTACGATCTGGAGAGTTTTTACATTTCCACTTGTGCATCAGGTATCCCCATCTGCTGCCATGGTTTGTGCACAGGCTACGATTTAGGGTGGACCATGAGCAGCTTCGTGGAAGATAAAACTCCAGGGACCTTCTGCATTGGGTCTTTCAAAACGACGAGGTGTCGCGCCAACGTGGCCCTGCAATCCCACGGCGGACGTGAAGAGGAAGACCTCAGCTTTGGGGGGGTTTATTATACCAGAAGGGGAGAAGCGAGAGCTCAGGTTCCACTCCAAGTCTCCCCCCCATCACCACCTTCTCCAATTGCTAACGCTGCAATACAACGCCAATCGCATAGCTGTCAACCCATACGTGTTACCCCATTATTCTTATCCAGGGAAATTGAGTTTTCAGGTCCATACGGCGTACAGCCGTTTCAATACGGGAACAAAAATAAATGAAAAATGTCTATTTTTGTTCCTCCCTTGGGATGGGACTTTGTAGGACGAACGTTGAGATTTATAATGGGCACGGGGTGACCAATGAGGTCTAAATTGGTCTTTAATAAGGTAGGCCACTGATAAGGGGGTTGACAGGTATGCAACTGTCACGATTATTATTATTATTATTATACCGGCGAGTTTCCCCACGACGTTGTGGGTTTGCGTTCCTTACCTCGCTTTCACTGTGCACTCCGTGCGCTGTTCCGCTTGCGCACGCCCGGCACGAGCGAGGAATTCCGACGGGAAGGTTCTTCCGCTGCCCTTTTGCTCACCCGTTCAGTGAGCTGGTGCTGTCGTTCGCTCCCCTAGGTCGACTCGGCCTCAAATGAGAAAAACCCTGGTGCGTTGCGGTGTGTGTACATTTTGCACACTCGGGAGACAAAGGAGGCCGGGCGGGCGTGGTGCTGGGCACGCACCTACCACCCTCGTGTGCCACTGTGCCGGCCTTCATAGGGGCTGCTACTCGCTTAACAGCACTTGCCCCAACAGTCTGCTGAAGGATAAATGAGGGACCTTTGTATTTGTACGCATGCAATACTGTACACAGAATACAATTATTTGCATACAAAAAGTACTGGGCATTACTGTATCGAACACGTTACATTGTATCAATGTATGCCAGTACTATTACAGGACTTCTCAAGTACCGCAATAGCACTGCAGTACTGTGGCATACCTGTCAACCCGTAAGGTTTGCCCCGTATGCTTGTACGGGGAAATTTAGTTTTCAGGTCCATACGGTGTACAGCCGTTTCTATACGGGTGTAGAGGTATTATTGTGCATCTCCCATGCTGTTAAACGGTGGTATCGGACACGTGCCAATAGGGGGCAGAAAAGGGCCTGAGCCCCAGTGTTAAGGGTCTATGGCCCACAGGGCCCAACGATAACCCCTATGGAACGGCATGACCAGAGGTGGAGACCCCAGATCCCAGGAGGGGACTGGGGGATGACATCACCCCCAGGTCCTGCTGGAAGGTTCGAGATGGAAGGTGTGGCCAGGGCGGAGTAAGCCACGGCTCTGTATGAAAGCCGGACCTCTGAACGGTCCCGGCAGTCGTCGCTCACCTGAAGATTGAAGAAGCCTCCTGAAGAGAAGAGCCCAAAGGGCAGAGCCGTACCCCTGTTAGGGTCGGCTCAAGCTTATACAAGTGAAGATGCAAGTTGCACTCGTGAGAGGTGTACGTTAGCCAGTAAGAGGCGTATTAGTCCGGAGGGGCTACCTCCTGAGCATATCAGGTGTAAGGGGCCGTTACCCCTTTGTGTGTGCGCGCGTCGGTCCATGTGTGTGTGTAAGTCCATGCAGTCGATGTGTGTGTGAGTCAATGTATGTGTGCGAGTCGATATGTGTGTAACTCCATGTGTGTGTGTCTAAAGTCGATGTTTGTGTGTATGTGTGTGTGTGCGTGTAAGTCGATGTGTTTCTATGTGTGTGGGTCGATGTCTGTGTGCAAGTCCATGTGTGTGTCTGCCTTTTTCGCCCGGGCAACGCCGAGTACTTACCGCTAGTTGTTAAATAAAAACGTGTTGCCTCAGAGAACTCTCCTAGTTATTTACCCACTACACGGGCACAAAAATAATTGTTTGTGTTTCTCCCTTGTGATGGGACTTTGTAGGACGAACGTTGAGATTTATAAGGGGCACGGGAGTGACCAATGAGGTCTGAGTTGGTCTGTGATAAGGTAGGGCACTGATAAGGGGGTTGACGGCTATTATATTATTACACCACAATACTGAAATAGTGAGACTGTCTAAAGTATAGTATACACACATCACTACATTACTGTCATGGTGCTAGCGTATAACGTCTACTATGATAGTGCCGTCGTGGTTATACTGGAAGGAACCTCCAGGTTACACCAGCCCACAGGGAATTATTGTGTCCGTCCGTCCTGCATCCAAAAATGGGAGGGGTGGGGCTGGGTGGAGAGGAGAGGGTGGGGAGGGGCTGGTTGGGGAGGGGCTGGGTAGGGAGGGTGGGGAGGGGCTGGGTGGGGAGGGTGGGGCTGGGTGGGGGGTGGGAGGGGTGGGGCTGGGTGGGGAGGGGCTGGTCACCCCGTGGTGCCCTTATAAAACTCAACATTTAACCTACTCACGCCGGCTTGTGCCCGCCCTCACAGTCGGGCATATTTGCGGAATACACCACGTGGTGCCGCCGTTGACCCTGGCCACTGACCGAGTAACCCAACGTTCCTATGTTGGGTTGATGACATGCAGCGTGTACTGCATGTCATCACAGTAGTGCTGTAGGGCAGTGATAACAATGTATTTTGCGTACTGTATAAAAGTACACAGCAATTCATTAAAGATGAACGCTCATCACACGGCGATTTGTGTTGGTGTCTGGGCCGAGTTGGAATGGTTCTGTGATGGCGATGATGGTGATGATGGTGGTGGTGGTAAAAACAATGACGATTCTGACGAGAATTACCAGGCCGGGATGATGATGATGATGACACGGATAACCATCGTGTAGCTGATGATGGTGGGGGATGACGTTAGTGAGGATGGTGGTGATGGTGATGACGGCGGTGGAGGTTAATATTATTGAGGATGGTGATGGTGGAGAGAGATAACGTTGGTGTTGATGGTGGTAATGGTGATGAAGATGATGGTGGTGGTGACGTTGGTGAGGATGGTGGTGATGATGGTGGAGGTTGCGGTGTTAACAACGAAGGTGGTAATTGTGGTGACGATTATGAAGTTAATGTTATTTATGACGGTGATGGTGTGAAAGGATGGTGATGGTGTTGAGGTGACGTTAGCGATGGTGATTATTGTTGAGGTGATGTTAGTGATGGTGATGATGGTTGAGGTGACGTTAGTGATGGTCATGATGGTTGAGGTGATGTTAGTGATGATGATGGTTGACGTGACGTTAGTGATGGTGATGTTGTTGAGGTAATGTTAGTGATGGTGATGATGTTTGAGGTGATGTTAGTGATGGTGATGATGGTTGAGGTGACGTTAGTGATGGTGATGATTGTTGAGGTGACGTTAGTGATGATGATTGTGGTGACGTTAGTGATGGTTGTTGAGCTAATATTAGTGATGGTGATCATGATTGAGGTGATGTTAGCAGTGGTGATGATGGTTGAGGTGACGTTAGTGATGGTGATGTTGTTGAGGTAATGTTAGTGATGGTGATGATGTTTGAGGTGATGTTAGTGATGGTGATGATGGTTGAGGTGACGTTAGTGATGGTGATGATTGTTGAGGTGACGTTAGTGATGGTGATGATGATTGTGGTGACGTTAGTGATGGTTGTTGAGCTAATATTAGTGATGGTGATCATGATTGAGGTGATGTTAGCAGTGGTGATGATGGTTGAGGTGATGTTAGTGATGGTGATGACGGTTGAGGCGATGTTAGTGTTGGTAATGTTGTTGAGGTAATGTTAGTGATGGTGATGATTGTTGAGGTGACGTTAGTGATGGTGATGTTGTTGAAGTGATGTTAGTGATGGTGGTTGCTGAGGTGACGTTAGTGATGGTGATGATTGTTGACGTGACGTTAGTGATGGTGATTGTAGAGGTGATGTTAGTGATGGTGATGATGGTTGAGGTGACGTTAGTGATGGTGATGATTGTTGAGGTGACGTTAGTGATGGTGATGGTTGTTGAGGTGACGTTAGTGATGGTTGTTGAGGTGACGCTAGTGATGGTGATG